TCAATGCCAAGATAAGAGAGCATCTGGAGAGCCTGGCAGCCACTGAGAGGAGAAAGGTAACTGGTGGTGGAAGAGAGGAAGCGGCTCTGTTGGAGGCAGGGATCAGCAACTAGCGGTTTCTAGCCCAAATCTGGCCCCTAAGGGGTTGTTGGCTCTTCCTCCAACACACACAAACACACACAGACAAGAAAGTGGTTACAGGAGTGGGATTTCCTCGCAGGCCCCTGGATGGGGCAGGGCTTTGGGCATTTTTGTTTTGATCTCCCATTGTTGATCTGAGCGCTGTTTTTAGATTTCAGCTCCGAAAGAGTCCCGGGGAAGGTGTTTTGTTGTCCGTTGTTTTTTTTAAATGGGGGGGATGACTTTCCCCCTACTTTCCTTCATCTTCCACTTCCCTTGCATCCTCTTTCCACGGATGCCAATGCACACCTTATAAAGAAAATCACTTTTGAGCTATTTTGGTCTACAGGGTTTATTTGTATGAGAATTCTTTTTACGTTGTGCTTTAAACCCAATGCAGGCAGAGTGTGGTCCACGTGCAGCCCAAGGTTGGGGTCTTTTTTCGATCTTCCTGTGAACATGCCCTGTTCTGGAAGGGCGGAGGGCGCAGCCACCTCAGGACACCCCCAGCAGGGGCCGTATAGACTGCAGGGGGCCCTCTTCAGCTTTCAACACAGAAAGTACTGCTTTCACAAAATGTGATGGGTCTCCAGCCACCCTCCGTTTCATCCTTTCCTTTCCTTTCTTCTCGTTCTCTGTCACTCTGTGGGTTTTGCCAGTTTGGGCAGCAGGCTGCATGCGGCACACCGAGGGTCTCAGCGAGCGTAAAGTCTGGCCTTTGGCCCGCTGGAGCCTTAGCAGACAACAGCATGATACGAAAAGTGTGGCACTTCCCTTTCCCTGAATTAATTCTAGAAATTAAAACCTAGCTGGGAAAGAGGGGTGTACAAGTCAGAGCAAACTGGGACAAGGAAGGAACAGAACTGTGTCCTTGAAGCGTTCACGGCCAGGATCTGATGGCTGTTGTGGGTTTTTCGGGCCAAACAGCCCCAAAAAACCACAACAACCAAGGGAGAGAACTCTTTGCTTGTCCTTATTTCTGGGTCCTTTCGGCTTCTCCCGCCGCACGTTGCTTGAAGGCCCTGCCAGAGCTGCACAGCACTGCGCCTTGGGTGTACATGTTCGGCACGTGGGAACCTGAAATGACTTGGGCTTCAGGGTTTTGGAAGAGGTCGTGGGACTCACTGACCGAACAGGCCCCTCCTCTCCATCTTGGGGCCGAGTTCAACTGTAGCTGTCCAAGCCTTAAAACATCTCGCTGGAAATGTTTGGGGTCCCGTGCTTTTTGCCCCCTCTCCTCAATTTTTTTTACCATCTAGCTTGAGGAAGAGTTTTGGAGAACCTGAGCGTTTGCATATTTAGGGAATTTATACTTGGCAAATTTGTAGATTTGAAATTTTGCTGTGAATCGTGGGATTCGTGACCTTCAGTTACTATTTTGGCCGGGGCTTCCGGGCACCAGATTGCCTTTGCTCCATCTCCTTCAATTCCCTTTTGCAGCTTTGCAGCCAAGTAGACGAGGTCCCAAACAAATTTTTTTTAAAAAGACGGGAAAAACGTGGCACTGTAAGGACAAACCCACTGCTTCAGACACGGGTAGATTACCACAGACTTAACACGGCTGCCTCTTTCTAAAAATCAGATACTTAAGGCTGCCTTAATGCATCTTGCATTGCTCGTCCTTTTAGCCCAGTATTGCATCCTCCAACCAACATCAGGACCAGAAAGGTCTTTCTCCGCACATTTCATATTGAGTTCATTTGTTGGGAATTGAACCTGGGGGTCCCGGAGCCCCTTTGGCCATCGCTTTGATGAAGGGAGCTGCCTCGGCTCCTGGGTGACCAGCCTCTGTGAAGTGCACACAGAGTGACAATGAGCATTGTCTGCCACCAGACTTTGGCAGAGGAACAATCCGCGGTCTGGGAGAAACGTCTGGAGAAAGTTGAGAAGGAAGCAGAGATCCAGAAGCGGAGAAACGAGGAGGAGATTTCAGAATATAAGGAACAGGTCAAGCAGCACTCAAGGACCATTGTGGATTTGGAAAGCAAGCTTGTGGACTCTGTACAGCACGTGAAGAAGGTGAAGGATGAAAACCTGACCCTTCAGAAGCAAGTAGAAGGTCAGTAGAGAACACAGGCTGACTCCTCCTGGCTGATGCCCTCACTTGCCCAGCTGTCCTTGGGGCTAGTGAATGCAAGCAGACGGTCAAAAAAGACAAAACAGATTGGGGGGGGGGGGGTTAGCCAAAGAAGCTAATTCCCATATTTATTTTTCAATTTATTGAGGTTTTTGTAAAGTTTCCTACAGTAAATTTTATTGCTAACTGAAGAATGGCTTCGATTCAATTTAATTTAATTTATTTTTTTACTTTAAAAAAAGTCTTGCGCTGTTTGGAGCCAGGATATTTTTTTAAAAGTGTGCTGTGGGGTCCCAGAAGTCCAGAGGAGCACAAATCTTAGCAGAATTGCCTTCCATGGCCCTAAAAATCACAAGGACTGTAGGGTGCAAAAGTACCCCAAGGGGGACCAACTGACCTTCAGGGTGCATTTTGCTTGCTCCTGAGTTAAACCAAGCAGGCTACAAAGCATAGAATTCTAGAATGACAAGAGTGGGAAGGGTCCCGTAAGGCCATCCAGTCCAACCCCCTGCTCAAGGCAGGCATCCAAAGCCAAGTCAATCGGACAGAGGGTGATCCAGTTTTTCTCTTGAAGGCTTTCAGCGCTGGAGCGCTCACCACCTCTTAAAGTAATTGGTTCCATTGCTGTACTGCTCTAACATCTTCCCCAAAGTCTTCTGTTGAACTCTATTTTTTCCAGAAATAATTCCTACAGTTTTTCAGAATCTTTAAAAATAGGTATCATCTCTGTTGATTTTTCTGTGCGTATGTGTTCTCCATTATATCTTCCTCCCCCAGAAATGCAGAGGGAGTCTTGCAGGTCCTTGCCAGTGGGTTCACAAGTGGCTTCTTGCACAGAAGGCTCCCACCTTTTCTTAAAGTAAGTAATAGGGTTTTTCCTTTGTTTTCTATTGATTTGTTAGCATTATTTGTTAAGAACAAAATAAGTCTAAGAAAGAAAGAAAAAGAAATCAAAAAGAAGGAGAGTCAAACATTGAAATAGGTGGAGTGACCAGTGATCCTAATGTTAATTATAGCCTGGCATTTGTTGCAGATATGTTGATATTATGCTGATGAATCTCACCATTTGCACCTGTAGCACCTGTTGGCCTTGATCAAAGGCTGAAGGGGATTGGAAGATGTTTTTCCATTATCACATGTAAAAAATCTAAAGTTATCCAGGGCAAAATTATGATAGTCAGAACAATAACCACAGAGCACTGTAAAGCTTTTAAACATGTCTTGGTGGAGCCTCGTGGCGCAGTGGTTAAACCGCTGTACTGCAGCCAAAACTGTGCTCATGACCTGGGGTTCAATTCCAGGTAGCGGCTCAAGGTTGACTCAGCTTTCTATCCTTCCGAGGTCGGTAAAATGAGTACCTAGCTCTCTGTGGGGAGGGGCCAATGTGTAGCCTGCATAATTAACTTGTAAACCGCCCAGAGAGTGCTTGAAGCACTATGGGGCGGTATATAAGCAGCACGCTTTGCTTTGCTTTGCTTTTGGTATTTTGAGTCAGTGGTGGTCTCTCACAGCTGACATTTATCCCCGAAATGGTTAGTTCTACTATGAACCAGATAATCACATCAGTCATATCATAGTTAATCTTGGTATCAAGATTTATGTAGTTTCCTTGGTGAACTGATTCCAAGCAACTTTGACTTGCCTACTTCTACACACTTTATTTATCTGCATTGCTTCTATGCACAAAAATCTAAGAGATACTGAAAACATTTAGCCTTTGAGAGCACATCCCAGTTATACAGAAATTAAACTTAAAGCAATGAAAAAACTCTAAGTGCAAATACTTAAATCATGTGACAGACCTCCAGAAGCTGTAAAGAAAACCTTGTAGGCATGCTTAAACAGAAATCAATTTCTGCAACTTGTAAAAAGTTCCAGGTATGATCAGCATCAAGAATTCTTACAACTATCTAAAATTGCAAACGAAAGTACATTCAGAAGCAAAACTTATACTGTAAGCAGAACATCAGTCATGTTATAATGTGTTTCAAAATTGCAGGAGCATATATTTTAAAATTGCAGCAACTTAAGAGGCACATATTTTAAATAAAAATCTATAAAAATAGAAATACATTGCTTAGCCTTTAGGAGATCCAAGGCACACCTAGAGGAAAACCCAGTATGTTCTCTAAGTGCTCACCCAGCCATCTGCCTGTTTGAATCTATGGATGAAAATCCATGTTGTCTCTGCTGCTGTGCTGCTACGTGCCTGCTGCTTTTCAATTTCTGGTGTCTGTGCCCAATGTCTGTGTGCATCACATGTCTGTGTCTTGCTTCCCTATTTTGATATTTGCCTTGTTTGTTTACATTTCTCTTCAGTTGCCAACCGTTTTGGCATGCTGAGGTAGCAAACCAGTAACTTATGAGACACAGCACGCAGGATTTCTATGAGAATCTGCATTGCTTCTGCTAACCTAGCAAACTGATATAGAGGCAAAACACTGGTAATTGTTTATTGCTTTATTCCCTGAAACAGTTGCTGTGGTTCCTCAGTAATTTGCTTGGGTACAGCTTTGCTAAGTTAGCAAAATGCCAGGGGACCAAATTTCTAGTGAACGAACTTGGTGAGATACCAGTTTGCTATCCTCGCATTTCAGTTTCATCACCTAGGGATTTTTTGGGTTGATGTTATAATCTCATTTTCCTTACTATTGTGTTTCAACACTCAAGCAGTCGCTTCCTGGGAAAGAGGCTCTTGGCAAGGCCATGCTGTTTTTGGGGTTCTGTGCTGACATTGCTTTCCCCGGGACGACTCGGATGTTTTGCAGCGACTTTTGCTAAGCACAATCGACATTTTCAGGATTGAATTTTTTACTCTCTACTTGCTTCATTATGCCATCGTTCTCTACATACAAAATTTCAAACGTTGACAAAGCTGTAATACAGATGCTAAGCTTTGCCATTTGTTTCTTTTTTGGTCTTCTTACCTTCAGGGAAGACTTGGATGCTGCAAAAGAGAAAATCCAGTCTGATGAGGCTGTGATTGCAGAATTAAAGACAGAACTCTCGGGAGCAAGAGCCAGGGTGTCCGACATTATCGGTTTGTGAAATGGCATCCCTTAATTTTTAACAGTGTGGTGCAATGGTTGAATGTTCAGACATGAGAATCCAGGTTTGAGCCCCCGCCCCCCCGGTCCTTCCCAGCCTGACCTGTCTCAGAGAGCAGTGGTAAGAATAACATTACGGGAGGAGGAAGACTATGTGTCCTGCCACGGAGGAGAGGCAGGAAAGAAACGCACCTGGGGAGGAACCACCTTCCCATCATAAAGAGACAAAGTGGCCTTCCTCTTACCCTGCTGCGTGAGAATGGTGGGGCTTGATGCCCGGCGCATCCAGAGGGCACCTGGTTAAGAAAGACTGCCTTTAGAAACAAGACAGCAGGAGGGAGAACCTGGGCTTCCTTCCTTCGCTGCATCGTCCTCCGTCCGGCGTCTTAAGACTCGCTAACTGTCCTGATCCTTGGAAATAACCTTAAGACCTTGTTTCAGAAAAGGGCAGTCGAGGTGAGCTGAAAGAGGACTGCAACGTGGCCGGGAGTTTGCCCTTTCTTCCAAATGAGCTGCCAATTGTTGATACTCTGAAGCCAGAATGGAGAACTGTGCCCATAGACAATCAGGGCGCAAGGGTTCTCGCCAAAATCGCAATTACAGTGTGTTTCCTTGTTATCCCCTTGTTTCAATATCTGTCTCTCTTCAGAGGGGGGGGGGGAACACACACCACATTGTTTTACTCACAAGGAGGTGTGTTTCCCTGTAGACAGTCCCGTCTTACTCTTTCTGCTTTTCCCGGGTGCAAAAAAGGATTCTGGACAGCATCAGCTGCAAGAGGTGGCCGGCGCTGTTTATCTGACGGTTTCTGTGCTACAGTCCAAAATGGTTGAACACGAGCAATGTGGAAGTTATAGCCTACATCAGCTACGTGGAACTCCAACCGTGCAATCTCTTGTGAGAAATTGCAGGTTTAAAGTCCCTAAACAGACAGCCGTGCTTGCAACTTTGAAAAGCAGCAACTATGATTGTCATCCAAAATTCTTGCCACTGTTAAAAACAAAACAAAACAAAACTGGTAAAGCTTAAAAAAAGATATGAAGACTAAACGTAAGTTGCAGGCAAATACTTAAGTTGTAAAAACATACTGTATTTAATAAGCTTGTAGTCCAAAAATACGGGAGGTTATAGTATTAAAAAGGCACAATCAGGAAGAAGAGAGCACATCTCTAAAACTCCTTGTTCCTTTGAAAAGTAAAAAAGTATTACATTTATTTGTAGCCTTTGCAGTAAATTTAAATAGCTGCACACTTGGCTGACAGCTGCAGCTAAAATGGAAAATCTGAGGGCATTCTCCGGCTGTGCAGAAAATGTAGACTCGGCTGTTTTGTCAACAGGAAGGCTCGTTTTGCCACTCAAGAGAGGAGACAGTCTTTTACTAAGGACTCCGTGCTGGCAGAAAAACATGTGCATGTTCTGTGGGCTTTTTCCAGGGCTACTGCACTGACTCAGGTGGCCGTGGGCTTTGCTTGTCCTGCGGAGCCGAGGGTCTTTGACATGTGGCTCGCAGAACTGGTGAAGCTGGACCGCTTGTCCTGATGTGACCTCCAGCAGACATTCAACAGATTGCTGTTCAGACCTCACAGGTTGGGCACAATCCACATTTACAGGGTTACCCTTCTATGCACGCAAAAGTCTAGTCTATCAGCACATTTCCGTGCATTTGCTATGGCGTTGGGGGCACCAATGTGCCGGGGGGGGGCCACACCAGTCTCCGCTGGTTTTGAAAGCCCAGCAGAAGTCATGCAGAAAACACCCAAGATTTCCAAGCGGGACTCTGGAGCCACCCAGGAGGGCCTGGGCTGCCAGCTGGAGGGGACTCTTTCTGGCTCCCCTTTTGCGTGAATCCTTCCTTTTAATCAGAACTCACGCGATGCCATTCTGTTGAGTCAGGTGGAGCTTTTAAGTTCTAACCTGAAAGCTGCCCAGACTACTGTTTGCTCTAATGGGGTGGTGTAGACATCCAGTAGATAAACAGTGTGAGTGTGAGTGTCTGGGGGATACCGGTCATCTCCTGATCTTTGTAGGAAGCGTATGGGGCCACGGAATGGTTTGTGACCAGAAGGATTGCCCGTTGTGGTCCTTGAGTTGGTGGAGAAAATAATTCACATTTCCTTTGGCCCTCTTGTTGGGAACCAGAAGCATGCAAGGCAACCTGGGGGAGAATTTTCAGGTGGCTGGATCCACTGTTGTTGTGACCCCAGAGTCGCTCAGAATGCCCCCCCTCTCTCCCTTCCCCCCCCCCCGCCCTCTGCAGGAGAACTCGGTGAGAAACAGAAAGTCGAGCTGGAGCAGAAGCAATGGCTTCTCCATAGCCAAGCGCATGAGCTCAGCCGGCTCCGAGAGAACCTGTTGGAGATGGCTCAGCTTGTGGAACAGAAGGATGCAGACCTCAAAATAGCAAGGGAAGCATTAAGGTAGGAGCGAAGCGACAGCAAGGGCAAGTCACTCAGCCCGGGGGGGGGGGGATCATGCTGAAGCAGGGCTGAGCAGAGGCACCAGAGGGCTAGGGGACCCTTTTTTTCCCCCTCGCTTTGGACCCTATGGGATCTCAGGAGCCCCTCTAAGCGAAACTCTATACAGAGTTTCTGAAAGGGAACAACCGCTACTTGAGGTGTAGTTGGACCACCATTCCTCCAGCGCAGCCTTCTGTTTTTTCTCACTTACCTCTTTAAACAAGCCTGGCACAACCCTCTGCCTTGAATTTTTTTGGGGGGGATTCTCAATTATGTAATCTTTCTGCATTATCCAGAAGACATCAGAGATGGCCTGCGGAAGTGGAGTTGGCCTGTTAAAGCTCGCTGATCATTTGGTTTTGTTTTGTTTTAGTGGTCTGATAAAAGTATCCCTCTGCCTCTGCATTCAGAATCACCAGAAGGTCACATCCAGATAGAGAAAAACAATGCCGGCTTTTTGAAATGGCGTAGATGTTAATTTCCTCCTTATTTGTGGTCTCTGTGAATGCTTTTTGAAATGGCGTAGATGTTAATTTCCTTCTTATTTGTGGTCTCTGTGAATGCATACTAATGGGTTTTATCTGCGCCTGCGCAGAGGTTTCCAGAATCTTCTAGAGCTTAACACTGTTCACTAGGACCGTCCACCCCCCTCAGTGCATGTGGGCCCTTGGGATCAAATGAGACATCAAGGGGGACTTCGGATTCCCTGTGGTTAACCTCTTTCCTCCCCTAGTAGGATTTCATTGAGTGATCTGGATGCCTCGGGATTCCTAGCATGCTTATATCTTTTAGTGACTAATCACACACACACAGCATGGCTAATTGCAGGGTAGATTGGTGAGAAAAATCACATGCTGTGATAAATAGGCATCTTTCCCTTCTTGGGAGAGCATTTGTGCGAAAAACAAACAAAATAAAACCCAACAACCTTGAACCATAAAATGGAAGCGTTGGGTGAGATCCAGGGGCCCTCCCGTCCATCCCCTGCCACAAGGGGTGACACAAGAAACATGCCGTTTCGTTTGACCCTCGCAATGGGGCACTGAACGCCGGGTAGCTCTTCGGATGGGATCGCTCAGACTCTACAGATTACGTTCTGCCCCAAACCCCAATTTGTGGTCCCTTTTTGGCTTGACATCGAATCCACATAGGCACACATTAAAATGACAGCCACGTTCACATCCACAAAACCACACTGAATTTCGATTTTAGAAGCCAGGTATTTTTTCTTTAAAAAAAAAAGCCCTTGCAGGCCAACTGAAAAATAATACCTCACCTTGCAGCCCCCATACATGGCTTTCACCCCTTGCATCATGGAACCAGTAACATGTATATCAATTTAAATGATGCTTAAATGTGGTTCTTATTGCTGGTGTGACCCCAGCCTTTTCTGCCCATTGTCTTTGTTTGATAGTGTAATTCTCCTTGTTTTCGGAATGCAGGAACAGCAGAGATAAGCTGCAAGAGATGGTGGCAGCAACCAGAGGAAAGGCAGAGGAGCCCGAGAAAGCCCACCAGCACAAGGGCGTACAGACAACAGCCCCCTTGGTGGATGAAGCCGCTGGGACCAGACAGGCAAGTAGCGCCTGGAGCACCGAGCACCCTTTGGAGAACTTGGGTGCCAGTTTGGGTTCAGGAGTCTCAGAATATTTGTTGAGCTCCACCTCACATGCCTGCTACCTAATAACAACATCAGTAAGCATTCAGAGTGGAGATGGGCACGAACCACTGGTTCTTGGCACTTCCTGGCCCTGCTTCCTCCGCAGGAGCCCATTCAGAAGCAGCGACCTGGCTTCTCTGCCCCGCCTCCTCTGTGCACTCCTCTGAGTGGGTGCCTGCCAGAGGAGGTGGGGCAGTGAAACACCGGTCTGTGCCCATCTCCAACTCAAAGTCATCAGATATGCTCGTTTAGGGAGGAGCTGCGGCTAGAACCAGGAGGAATAAAAGCTGCCTGGCCAGACTTGTTGAGGGATTCTGGGAGTCAAAGGTCCAGGCCTGAATCCCAACGGTTCAACCCACTCTTGAATCAATGTAGATGGTGTAAAAGGTGAAAGAACTCAGCTCCCCTTACTCCGTGGGTCGACTCTGTTGGGAACTGACGGACCGATGGATTAGGCATAGCCTATCCTTTGCCTGCAAAGGGTCCCCGGTTCAGTTCCTGGGCTTCACCTGGAGCTGGAGAAGCCAGAAAGCTGACATGTGTCTTGCAAGGTTCCCACATGAGATGACTTCCCAGGTCAGTCTAAGCGAGACAGACTGGGGGAGTCCACCACACCGGGGGAGCTTCCTGCGTTCTTTATATTTGGGACCTGACATCTGCAGCTGGTGCAATGGCAGTGCCGAGGGGGGTGTGTGTGTGTGCGCCTGTGCACTCACATCATGTGTCCATTGAGCATGATTCTCATCCCATGCATATTGTCCATGACAAATGTTGTTATCACGCCTTTGCAATTATGAAGGCTCATCACCATGAGGTGTTACTAGAATGGTTTGTTGTGGTTGGGGAGACAGCTTGTGGGAGGACTGGCTGAGGGAGAGGGAATGTGCTCCAGCTGTCCTGTTTTCTCCACAGCCCACGTGCGGAGGAGAACAGAAGGAGCAAGAGACTTGTGATTCTAGACCCCTTTCGCATTATTGGGCGCTCTGAGTTACTGGTGTTAAATTGCTCAAGGAGAGTGAAACATGGATTTTCAGAGGCTTTTTTGGATCACGTCCAGCAGCCATTAACGGTTCACGCTTTGGACTGGATGGAATTTTGCCTTGGGCCAATGTGACAACCTATTTTCTCATTGGTTCATCTTTCTCTCTCTCTCAGGCACTCGTACACGGTATACACACAGAGCAGAAGTAACTGAAGTTCAGCACTGGGGGAGTAATTGTTTGTTTGACATACCACCCCCTAGTGCTGAAGCACTCTCTGGACAGTTTACAACGTAGTTATGCAAACAACTTTGCCCCCCAATAAGCAGGCTGTTAGTTGTACTGACCTCAAAAGGAGAGACGGAGTCGACTTTGAGCTGGCTTCTAGCAACACTTTGGGATTGCAGGTCATGAGCACAGATGGACACTCACCGTGGTTCGGCAGATAGGGCCCACAGGTATTGTGTGGGCGCCCTGGGTTCTATGCTTGCCTGCTCTTCTGAGTGGGCAACCGTGGGAGGAAGCAGAGCATGGAATCTGGGCTACCTATGAAACACATGTGGCCCTGATCTACCAAACCGTGCCAAACCATATCTACAGTAGTTGTGAGCAGAGGCTTGACTGCAGTTCTGCAGTTTAACTACCTTGCTGAGCTGTTTTCTGCTGCCGCCCCAAGAAGGCCACTTTCAGTCTGAGTAGATTGGAGCATGCCTTGATGGTCACGTCATCTCAGGAGGAAGACTAGGGTCCACCCTGATCATGGTGTCACCAGCAGCAGCCATGTGTAGTAGAAGAAACCATGCTGTCCAGACAGGAGTTTCCCATTTCATGTCATGATTTATCTAGCCTAAAAGATCAAACGATCAGTGAGGAGGGAATCCTTTTCCTTGAAGAGACGGGATAAACAGGTGGATCAGGGATAAGGTAGCAAAACTACAAGCAAGAAGGATCTTGGAATTGTTGTAGATCACAAGCAAAATATGAGCCAACGGTGTGATGTGGCCACAAAAAAGGCAAATGCTATTTTAGGCTGCATTAACAGAAGTATAGTTCCCAAATTCCGTGAGGTGCTAGTTCCTCTCTAATCAGAACTGGTTGGGCCTTAGCTTGAATCTTGTGTCCAGTTATGGACACCACACTTCAAGAAGGATGCTAACAAATTGGAACAAGTTCAGAGGAGGGTGACAAGGAGGATCAGGGGGCTGGAAACGAAGCCTTATGAGGAAAGGCTGAAAGAAATGGGCATGTTTAGCCTTGAGGGGAAAAAAAAGACTGAGGGGAGACAGGATAGCACATTTCAGATACTTGAAAGGCAGTCCTACAGAGGAGAGACAGGACTTGCTCTCGATCATCCCAGAGTGCAGGACACACAACAATGGGCGCAAGTGACAAGAAGCCAGATTTCCTCTGAATCTCAGGGAAAACCCCCTAACTGTTAGAGCAGTTTCCTCAGAGAGGAAATTGGAGCACCGTCTGTCAGATCTGCTTTAAGTTGGATTCCTGCCTTGAGGTTGGACTCCATGGCCATATAGATGCCCCTTCCAGCTTCCTTATGCTATGATTCTAAGACTCCTTATGTTACCGACACATTTTTCAAAGGGAAAGGAGGAGCCTTTCTTTCCATGGTGAGCTTGGCTTGTTCTCCTGGGCCGAGGCTTCTCAGAATTTTGGGGCAACCCTTGATGGGACTTGAAGTTGTCTTGTTTGCGTCTCTTTATTGGAGGGCGTTGGTGGCTTTGTCATTGGAGTGGGTCTCCAAAGAGACAGGTTCCCTTCCTTACCTTGTGGTCCTGAATAGGGTTGAGGAGCTGATAGTGTTCTCTTTCCTGGTGCCAGGATTTTGTGTGGATGCAGGCACCACACCGGCCTCTCGGAGGTCCTCTCAGGAGAAGAAATGGTTTGGTTCACCCCTTGGTTTGCAAACGTTGGACCGGCAGAGCAAAAGCCCACATTGGCTGGTGCTGTAGAGCCCAGAGCCCAAGGTTTCTCCTGGTTGCCACGGCCTTGATTATAATCTCCCCATGAGACGCAACTTTGTCGAGGCCTCAGAGGCCGTAACCAGACAGGGCGATGGCTCCGCGTCAAGGCATACTCCCTGTCCTGGATAGCCACTTCTTTAGTCATGAACCTGGGCAGACATTTCATATTAAATTCTCCACCAAGGCTGTGCCCACACTGACAATTTGAATCTGTTTCTGTTCGTACTTTTTGGAAATCAGGTTTGAGTAGTGTATTTAAACCACATTCACATGCACCGAATGGAAATAAATGTGTTTCTGATGATTCAGATGGGTTTTGGTGTCTACACTGGTGAATTTGATTCATTTCCACAAAACTTCATTGAACTGAATTAATTTCAGAAGTGTTAGGTACAATAGGTCCCCCCTATCTGCAGGATCAGTATCTGCTGATTCACTTATCCACTGGCTGAAAAGACTAAACAAACCCAGAAATATTTGTATTTACTAGAACGGGTCACTAGAGAGTGGCAGAGTCAATTCAATGTCTCTAGTATGTGATAACGTCTTCATTTTCCAGCATTTGCGGGGTGGGGGTGGGGAGCTTGTCTACAACTCCCACCATCCTACTCTGGCAAAACTCCTTCTGGCCAGTTGGGAAAAAAAAACTCACTTTGCAGCCCAAATGAATTGCCAACAAAACCATCTAAATTGATTTAAATGATGTTCGATTGCAGTGCTTATTGCTAGTGTGACCACAGTCATCTAGTGCTAGAATGGTTGCAGATTTCTTTTTAATAAAAGAAAGCATAAGCAAATACATATCAATTAAAGGGACATTATCATTGTTTTAGTAGTGGTGCAAATTAAGGCAAGGGAAGAGGAACCGTTTTTCCCTCTCAAGCCACCGACCGGGTTGGCCTGGGGAAAACCTCCCTTCATGCAGCAACCCTTGCCATTTCTGTATAGCTGAACGTTTGTGGAAGCGAGTAGTCCAGCCTGCATGCATGCGCGCATGCACACATACCCCTTGCTACTCTCCACAATGCATCTGAATCCGTCTGTCTTTCTCTCAGGGACCAGCCGCTGACCTGGCCGATCTAGGAGCGAGATGCAGAGGCTGCAGACATGAGGAAACAATCCATCGCCAAAAAGATGCCGTGGCTGAACTGCGGCAAAGGATCAAACTGTTAGAAAAGGGTGGACCCTCGGGTGAGTGCGGTTGCCTTAACCAGAATATCTCTGGGCAAGGAACCGGTTACAAGGATTGCTTGATCTCAGGGAGCTGGTTGGATTCTCAAGGAACTCTGCAGTTCTTCTCTGGGTTTCCAGGTGGAGATACAGGCCAGGCATCTCCAGAGGAAAAGAGTAAGTCTTGCTTTATTGGGCATAGTGGCTTTAAAGCCCAGGTACTCACCTTGGCACCTGGCCTTACTGGCTCTGTGGGGAGATGTTTCTATGTGGGTGATGGACTTGCTTTCCTTCCAACCCTTGCCTGCACAGCCTCTGTCCAATCACAAGGACCTGCCCCTGGTCTCTGTATCTGTATTTGGCCCTAAAGTCTCAAGGCGGGGATGCGACTGATTGGTCAGTCCAACTGTGCGCATGAGAGAAAGCAGCTTCTCTGTTTCCCTGAAAATACTTAACCTGAAAATAAGCTCTAGTATGATTTTTCAGGATGCTCGTAATATAAGCCCTACCCCAAAAATAAGCCCCAGTGAAGTGAGACCCTGCCCTCTACCCTTGTGCAGCAACCAGAAGAGGACATGACTGTAATAGAATAAATGTAGTTTGTTGTACGTGAAAAAAAATTAAAACATCCGCTGAAAATAAGCCCTAATGTGTTGTTCAGAGCAAAAATTAATATAAGATACTGTCTTATTTTCAGGGAAACATGATAATAACTGAGTATTCCCATAAGGCTGAGCACAGGAGTAATCTCCTTCAGCAAAGTTGTGAGTGTACTTTAATATTGCAAATCAGAGGCAGCAAGAGGAACACAGAATATGGCATCTTGAAGAAGGGCTCTGGGATTTCCAACTTGTGTTTTGCAGTGTCAGAAATTCTGAATAAACGCTGGGTGCAATCAGATGGACATGGTTTGGTCCACTGCAGGGATGGGCTGGTGCACTCTTTTTTCCATCGATCAGATGAGATAATTGCTGGAACAAACCAGCCTGTTGCCCAGAGCATTCCTACCTGCACATGTCAAGTGGAGGGGAGGGGGCTTCCAGTTTTTTCGTGTGGGTAGGAGCGCTGTTTTGGTTAGTTTCCAGTGCGTGCAGTCACTGGAAATGAACCAAAGCTAGCTTGTGGCTATCCATTTGTCTTCTGCTGTCAATTTGCCAATATCATGAAATGACTTTAGAAGATAGCTCTGCCGCTTCACAATACTGGGAAAGTAAACACATTATACGATTGTTGTGGGTTTTTCAGGTTGCTTGGCCATGTTCTGGAGGTTTTTCTTCCTAACGTTTCACCAGTCTCTGTGGCCGGCATCTTCAGAGGACAGGAGTTAGAATTCTGTCTGTGTTCTAGTGTAGTGTGTGGGATAGTTGAGCATTTGTACCTATGGGATCAGCTTTTTGTCTGTTTTAGGAAACTGGGTAATTATGGGGATCAGGATGTTCTTCAGCTGGTCTCTATGAATGCACATTAATTGGTCTAATGTGCCTGCACAGAGAAACCTCAGAATATTCTAGAGCATAAGCACATGGTGCCAGGACCTCCCACACACTGCCTATAACCCCACCCCGGCACCAAGTGCCTCAGTTCCTATCTTGCTGCAGCTGTAGCAGCACCTCGGTTAGGATCTTTCTGTTTCTCTTTCAAAAAACAAAGCAAACACCTTACCCTTTTCTTGGACCTCCCGGATTTCTGACTCAGACCGTTCAACGATTCTTCTTCCTTTTTTAAAACGGACTGTTATTTGTTTTGTGTGAGAGCCATAACTTTGTTTATGGCCGCTCCAGGCCTCTTCAAGAGGTGTGAGAATTGCTCCAACAAAACAGCCCTCTCAGAGGGGCATTCCCGCAGTTTATTTTGCTTAGGGGAGGAGCACCAGCCGGCTTGTAAGAACTTTATGAAGTCTCTTAAGTTGAGACTTCGGCATCTCTGTTCCTTTTTGTGGGAGAAGTCCCTGTCTCCATCTCAAGGGGCCCCCATGGAATCTGCCCAAGCTCCGGAGCGTTCCCCATCGAAGCCCCATGCTTCCTCCTCGAGCTCGAGATCGACAGCTACAGTATCGTTGCCAAAGAAAAAGAGAAAGTTCGGCAGCAGTACAGAAGCCTGGGCGTATGGCAGACTGGGCGCACGAAGCAAGACAACTTCCAAGTCTCATCAAGGGTTGCCCCAAAATTCTGAGAAGCCTTTGAGAACACATTAAACACATTCTATGCTCTGTGGAGAGCTGGAGGAGGTAAGTTTTAAAAAAAGTCTATACGAGGACCGTGCTGTTGTACTACATCACTTTGAGAAGAACAGAAAAAAGTAGAAGAAAAACTGAACATCGGAAAACAAAGCACCCTGAAGGCAGAATCAGTCGAGGGGAACGCTTCTGTGCTCTGACAAGCCCAGGGGCCTTTGACCCTCTTGCTCCATCAATCCAGCTAACCATGGATTTCAGCCTCTGCAGAGGTGGTTGGCAAGGTGTCTTCTCGCGTTCAGTCATCCTGGGGGCTGAGGTGCTGTGTCCATTGTCTGCCACTCTGGTAAGCCACAGTCACCGGCTGTCCAAAGGCCCCACATTTGCCTTTGTTTGACCCAGAGGGAATGGTCATTTTACCCAGTCCTTCTATCAACAAATCCCACAAAATAAGAAGGTCTTTTGGGGGCAATTTTGGAAAAGAGTGTAGTTTGGGGTGGGGGTGAAAACCTCTTCCTTGGCCTGCAGAGCTCTCTGCCAGTCAAGCAGGAAGCCCTCTCTCTCCCCCTCAGGGACCACGGCCCTCTGTCTCGCCTCCCTTTCTTATGTGAAAAGTGCTCTTTATGAATTCTGAGTGACCCTGGAAGTGCAGCCATGCAGAGAATCCCCGTTCTTGTCTTAGATTCCAAAGGCAGAGCTGCAGAACCACTTATAGTTCTCAGAAAAGGCCTGGCGGAGAAAAAGAGTCAAAAACCGGAGGAAGAACAAGTCACGTCCCCAGCGGCAGGTGCCAAGACGGTAACTGGACTCTATCTGGCTTCGAAGCCAGAAAGCGCGTAGAAAGGCTCCTGATGCCTTCCGCGCCACGTGGGTGGCTGCCCCCAGGGTGCCCTCTCCTCTCTGGCTCATTTTTCAGAGTATATCATTCTCCTCACTTCTCTTTCAGCTTCAGTGTGGCCTGTCCAGCACGGATCCCAACCTGATGATAGAAAGGACTGGGAGGCTGGGAATGGCTGACGCTCTCGACCTCAGTGAGAACTTGGTATGAAGATGGGGCAAGGGGCTGATGGGCTTGAAGGGGAAAGAGGGGCGGAAGGCGGGGGCGAGCAGGAGGCAGGTTCACCCTGTGGTGTCACGAAAGAGTGCCAGCATGTGGGCTTCCTGCCACTTCCTCGCCCTCCTCTCTCCTCCTTTGAAAAACGGCTGCCGGCAGAACTCTGGGTATAGAAAACTGGCACTAGGAGTGGCTCCAGGGAGGGTTCCTTTATCCTCAATGCCTTGAAATAAGTTTCCGGGAAGGCTCTCTGTCTGCTCTTCCTCCCAGGCGAACAAGGGATTTCTCCTGTCATCATCACACAAGGGACACCGAGGCTTTCCCTGAATGATTGGCTCTCCAGGAGGGGCATCTTAAATGGAGGGTGGCGGCTTGTTGCTCTGAACCTGTCCTTGGTGTGGCACTGGTTTACCATGTTTAGTGTAGTATTTGTTTGATTCTTTTCAATATTTGTATGCTTACTGTTTTTAGCTTTTCAACATTGTCTTTTAATGATTGCGAGTTGCTTTGGGTCCGTTTTAAGGAGAAAGGCAGGGAATGAATGAAGGAATGAATGAATAGGCTGTCCATTCAGTCACTGCATGGTGTAAGTCACATGATTCAGATCCAAACAAGCCTTCCTCAACGTCGGTCTCTGACTGGGAGCTGGGCAGCGGGGGGGGGTCTTCACAAGGAGGGCAGGAGGTCCCTCTTCCCATCAGCTTGCTGCTTCCTCTTCCTCCCCAGTACCTCCGCTTTATCCAGGATCTTGCCAGCCTCGTGAACGTGAAGGAGCTGGGGGGTCTGCAGACGGTCAGGCACCTCCCGCAGGACGAGAGGGAAAAGGTCGGGGCGCTGCGTCAGAAGGACGCTGAGCTGCTTTTCGACAAGGTCAACCAGCTGAAGCATCGCCTCGAAAGGAAGGAGTCCCTCTTGAAAGAGTACGAGAGAGACATGGGGAAGTTCAGGTATAAACCGCACCGGCCTGGTTGGGTGGAATTGGGTCCAGCTGAAGCAGCCTGGCCCGCCTTCTGTCCTAAGGGCCACTGTGGAATTCAGCTGCCCAGCGTTGGGAGGAGTTGCCTTTTTAGATGACAACTTCTGGAATTTCACGGCTAGCAGTGGGGAGAGTCAACCGTGCCTTTTCCATTTCCATCAGCTATATGGATGTAAAGCACAGTTGGAAGACAGCAGTATGCTTCCTAAACTATGCTTACTCCCGTGTTTTCCCCAAAAATAAGACAGGGTCTTCTATTAGTTTTTACTCCAAAAATGCATTAAGGCTTATTCTGTTTGTTTGTTTAACTTATATGCCGCCCACGCTACCCAAAGGTCTCTGGACAGCTTACAAGAATTTAAATGCAGTAAAAAGATAAAACAATTAAAATACAATTAAAAATACAGTGCTCTAAAAATTGCCATTAAGACCCACAGTTGATATTATTTCAATTAAAAGCCTTCTGGAAAAGGAAGGTTTTGATCTGGCACCGAAACGTCATCAACGTCGGCACCAGATGAAACTGACTCGGGAGGGCATTCCATAGTCTGGGGGCAGCTGCCGAAAAGACCCTTTGTCTACAAGCCATGCCTCTTACCTCCTGGAGGGACGGCTCTTTCAAAAGGGCCCCCTGGCTGGATCTTAACTGCCTTGTAGGTTCATATGGAAGGTGGCGGTCCTTCAGGGATCCAGGGCCCAAACCGTTTACTTCAGTACAAGTACTTTGAGGGGGTGTTTTTTTCATGTGCAACAATCTACATTTATTCCATTACAGTCATGTCATCTTCTTCTGGCTGCTGCACAAGGGTGGAAGGCGGGGTTTCTCTTAACTGGGGCTTATTTTTGGGGTAGGGCTTATATTATGAACATCCCGAAAAATCATCCTAGGGCTTATTTTCAGGTTGGCTTTTATTTTCGGGGAAGCAGGGTATAGACGTGTTGCCTGAGCCACAAGGCGGTCATGCTCATGTCAGGCGTGGCAGCCTGCCTTTTGCTGCAGCAGGGGGGCATTTACCCATTTTGCCCTGACGGGCGCTCATTGTGCATCCTGCAAGGCAAGGCGTATCTGGATAGAGCTCCAGATCACAGGGATCTTGGCTGGACGCAGGGCTCCCAGCACACCCGCGTCTGGAGATGGAGTTGGTGGAGAAGGCAAGTGAACCTGCCCCAGGTTGGGGCAGGGGAAGCTGACCAAATGGGGGCAGGGGCAGTCATTGGAAGGGGAACATGGCAGCTGACCATGATCAGGCTCCCCTGCTGGGCTAGGCAGGAGCAGCAGATGTCAAAGGAACCCCAGAGCCCTCTTGCTCTGAGCTTCCTCGGTGAGGCATCCCTCCTCTTGATTTCCTGGTTGACTCACTGTGAGTGAGAGAGAGAGGGATTTCTGGAACAAAACCGTCCCCAGGCCGTTCGCATCCTGTGCTGGTCCCATCCTGTTCCAGTGCTTGCCACGAATGTCAGGGAGGGGGAGACTGACAGTAGAGCTAATGAGAAGGCAGCTCTCCTCAGCGCCTTCTGTCTTGCCGCGTACAGGACCAGCAAGCAGACCCTGCAGGCTTGCCAGTCGGAGATTGCCAAATTAGCTGAGAAGATCTACCGGGAATCTGAAGAGAAGGCTCTCCTGAAGGAGGCTCTGGAGAGGACGAAACTGCAGCTGATCCAGGAGAAGAGGCTGAATCGGTCTCTGAAACACCGCCAGGTACAAGGCGGCCATGAGCAGACGACAGGCAGGCTTGGGGGGGGGGTGGAAGGAAAGGTTGTTTGGGACAAATCCTGGTGGGCCTCTCGCTCCTCTTCTTGCAGCTGCCCTCCAATTCCACCTTCTTCTCCAGAAGACAATTGAGAGCTCTTTCGGTCAGCCTTGCTTCTAAAACATCTGCCCTTCATTGGGGGGAGAGTTTAAATCTGTTGGCCCATTTACCTCCCGTTTTTTGATTCTGGGTGGTTTAGCAAGTGCTGTATCAGGGGCCTCTTTTTATGTCACACAAGCCGGGCTTGGTCCTTGGTGTGGCATGCCTGGCTGGGTGGACGGCAGACTGGCATTCCTGAGAATGACATTGAATTGGCTTCAGACCTCCTGACAGCCACAATGCTGCTATCAAGCTCCTTGGTGGCTGGAACCAGGGGGAAGCACGCAGACCATACCTTCGTTTAAAGCAGTCACTCTGGCATCACCTGGAAAACAAGGCAGTAATGACTCGAAGCCAACACGGATTTGTCAAGAGCAAATCCTGCAAGACTAATCTGATCTCATTTTTTGATCAGGTCACCTCCCTGATAGAGGGAGGGAATGCTGTAGACGTAATATAGCTTGACTTCAGCAAAGCTTTTGACCAAGTGCCCCATAATATCTGAATGAGCAAGCTAACTAAGTGTGGGCTGGATAGATCGAATGTTAGGTGGATGCACGGTTGGCTACAGAATTGTACTCAGAGAGTGCTTATCCTTCTCAGACGGGGAGGAGGTAACAACTTGGGCACCTAAGGATCCATCCTGGGCCCGATGCTCTTTGACATGATGACATGGATGAAGGAGTGCAGGGAACACTTACCTATCTTGCGGATGACACAACACTGGGTGGAATAGCTAATACCTTGGAGGACAAAATTCAAATAGATCTTGTCTAAAGTAGTATGTCTTTCATTACTTGAGTCTGGAAAAGTTATTTTGGATTCAGGTCCCAGGCTCCTCCAGCCAACATGGCTGTGGTGGCTGGGGAATTCTGGGACTTGTAGTGCAAATAATGCCTTTTCCAAGTTTTGCCCTAAGCCACTTTCCATGGAATACAAGAGGTTTGTTCTAAGTGTCCTCTTGAATGCCTCCAGTGTTTGATCACTCACCACCTCCCCCTGAGGTCAGGGGTCCCACTGTCATACAGCTCTAACAGTTGAGAAGTTTTCCCTGATATTCAGCCTAAATCTGGCTTCCTGTAACTTGAGCCCATGATCACGTGTCGTGCAGTCTGGGATGACTGAGAACAGATCCTGCCCCTCCTCTGTAAGAGAGTATATAGTTGTGTACAGTACTGTTATTTCTTTTCTATATTGTATTTTTTGATTATGGTGATATTTTTCCACTTTAAACATATTTGCCGCACCAGCGAGTGAAGGATAGGTAGGCAGAATGCTGCCGAAGCCTCTCTCGGGCTGCCGTCCATTCTGTTACAAGCTTCCTTCTTGCCACTTGTCTGCCTGCCCTTGTGACAGCTCACCGTTATGCCACCTGCTCCTCCTCCCATTTCCATTTTTACTTCCTTTGCCATTCAAGCAGGCGCTGCAATGGCAGTGGGGTTTACACTAAATGTAATAAATGACCTGGATTTGACTTGCTCATCAGGGTCTTTCCAGGGCATGGTTGTGTGTGTGTGTGTCCGCTGTAGCCACATAAGCCTTTGCCCTTGTGCTTCTTTTCTGCTTGTGAGACTCGCCCCCATTGATGTGCTTTTCCCCTCCAGAGTACAGAAAAGAAGAGCGAGGTGTTGTCATGCTACCCCTGTACCCTGAAAGCCAGAGACAGGAAGGTAGGAGAATGTCTGGGCCGGGTGGCCCGTTCCCTTTGGAGGAACGCTCCAAATGGAGGCGAATAATGGTGGGAATAAGTGGGAAAGGGAGAGGGGTATGGAGATGGAAGCCACCCAACCCTGATGGGTGGCCTGTTGCAACGCTATGGGGTGTTCTCGGACGATCTGCCGCCTCCCCAGGGAATGGACACCTGGCTGGCTGGGGCCTGGAGCGGGCCGGCCAGCCTGCTCGTCCCCAGCAGCCTCCTGGCAAAGAGGCAAAAGCGGGCCTTTTCCCTGAGGGGGAGCCATCGTTCAGTGCCAAAGGGAGCGCGGGAGATGCCTACAAAACCCCCACCAAAACCTTCATCTTAATCTCTTGATTTCCTGTGTTTTGAAACTGCTCAAGCTGTTTAAAAGATGTTGTGTTTTCTAAATTTTTTATTAGTCAGCTCTGTAACCTGTCCTGAGATCTTGGGATGGGGAAGGCTATCAGATGAAATAAATAAATTAATGAATAAACAAACGTTGTTCAGTAAGAGGTAGGTGGGCTGTTTGGGAGGCTGAGGGTCGGAGAGAAGACAGGCGAGTGTTTGAGTGGGTGTTGCGTTTTCTTAGCTACTCCTTGGCCAGACTTCTCTAGTATTATAGGAAAAAGAAGGTTTTGAAGTGCAGCTTCTTGTACGGTTGGGCTTGTCCATGGAGGCCGTGGCCAGGGGTGGGGGTGGGTGGGCTGAGCCTCTTCCCCCACCCCTCAGAGCATCATCCCCCGTCCCCTGTCCAGAATTGGCCACAGGAGGAAAAATGAGGGCTTTGGGGATTGGGGGGGGTAGTATCAAGGGGCAGGTGAGAGGGAGACATTTTTTTAAAAAAGAAGCCTTCTCTGTGCCCTGTTGGGTGTTCAGGGAGAAGAACTATCCTGGAGGTGGGGGGGGGGCAGGAGGCAGGAAAGAGAAACGGGAGCCACGGTGGAGGGAACCACAGTGTCTGACAGGAGGACGTGAAGTGAAGGCAGGGGAGGTGAAAGAAAGCGCGCCATGAGGGTCCGAGTCCTTTTGGCCCTTCCTTGTCTTCCCGCACACTTAGCCATCCATTGCTCCCGCCCCATCCGCCTCCCTTCCACCCCCTCCTGCTGCCTGGTCTGGTCGTCCCTTGGAGACCCAGACGGTCCTGAAAAGCTGGAACATTCGGCCGAGCCCCGGTCCGTCGGCCTCGTCCTTCCTGCCGCCCTCGGGTCACGTCCTGCTGGCGGCCTCCCTAGCGGAGTAGGTGGGTGGGCCAAGGCATGCTTCACCCTTGGCTGCTGCAAAAATGCCCAAGGGCCACCATTCCTGTGTGCTGCTTTTTCCTCCGTTGTATCTCTGTGTTTTGCAGACGGCCACCCCTGAACAACCGCCGCTGCCTGAGAGCCCGGCCACCGCCGTTGGGAGAGGGGCGGAAGCCCCCAGGAAGGTCGCCCTCCGCAGTGCCTCCACCTAGACCGGCCCCTTTGCCATCAACCGGTGGGTGAGGAGCAACCCCGCCAGCTGTCTGTCGTAGAAATGCTACAACTTTTTATAAAACATCATTTTATAATTTGCATGTATCTACACATTTGTACAGGTGATGGCCTTACCTGGTCCTTTGTATCTTCATGATCGGACTCGTGGTCAGACTTGGATTGAAGGCTTGAGTTAAAATTGTATATAAATTTTCAACAGGCAGCGATCAGTGTCTTTTTGGGAAGGAGGGTGGGCCCCTGCCCCCCTGCCCCACATGCTATCTGGAACTCATGCGGCAGGAATACAATTTAGCTGGGTTTCACTTTCCATCTTTCATTTAGTGTGTGTGTGAGAGAGAGAGCAGGAACTGGCCCAGGTGAGTTTCCTGGCTCAGGTGGGGACCTGCCGCTGGATCTCCCAAGTCACCGTTCAGGGTGCTCTCCACCCTGTGGTACATTATTTAAATGACACCTAGACACCCAGGTGGGTATCGGCAGGAGAAACAGGGTTTGAATATTGTTTTAGCCAATAAAATAACGTGATGCCAGCAGGGAATGATAGTAGTCATCGTCAATGGCTGGATATGCCATCAAGTTGGAGCCGACTTAGAGATGGTTCCCCCGAAAATAAGACAGGGTCTTATATTAATTTTTGCTCCAGAAAACACATTAGGTCTTATTTTCAGGGGATGTTTTATTTCTTTTCATGTACAACAACCTACATTTATTCAAATACAGTCATGTCCTCTTCTGGTTGCTGCACCAGGGTGGAGGGTGGGGTTTTACTTAACTGGGGCTTATTTTGGGGGTAGGACGTAAATTATGAGCATCCTGAAAAATCATACTAGGGCTTATTTTCAGGTTAGGTCTTATTTTCGGGAAAACAGGGTAATAAGGGTTTGAAGGTAAGTGAGATCTGTAAGGGGTGGCTTTGCAAGTTCCACTCCCCCAGGGAGCCCCCATGGCTGAGCCCTGAACGTGAGCCCTGTTCTCCGGAGACCCCTCGCGCACAGCTCTATCTATGGTCTGACCGTGCATCGGCAGTGTCGCGTCAATTGTGTAAAGGCTTCTAATGTCTCTGCTCGCTCTCTTTCACTCTCTCTGATGTCGCTCCTTCTCCTGCAGCCCTGCAGTAAAACATTTGTTCTTGAAAGGCAGGGGGAACCTCTGGAGCTTACGTTTGCCAGCATGAGGGGAGGAATGGGAGGGAGGGGAAACCAGGCATCCCATTTTTCTGGCACTGCGTACCAGCAGACACACAGACATGGGTTTTTATGTGCCCCCCCTTCTGAGTTGCTTGGATCAATCCAGATCTGTTCTGGACCAATTATTCCAAAGCCATTTCGGCTGCACATGGCCCCAGGCACACAATGACTCCCTCACTTTCTCTTTCCGCATTACCCAAGGGTTTATTTCAGGACAACGCGTAACCGCGTGCGTCTGCCAGCTCTGAACATTTTGCTGCCTCTTTTGCCCATCTGTTCCCGGAGGACGAACTGGCTGCAGTTCTTCCCTGTAGGATGCTGGAGTCTCCGAAGTTTAAACTGCACCCTATGAAGAGACCTCTCCCCCAGCCTTCCCTGTTCCTACATTTCCGTGAGCTGACCTTGCTGATGGGCTTGTGCAAAGCCTGGAGGTCTCCTCTCCCGCTCCCTATCTTTCTCTGCTCCAGCGGAACGAGGCATTTTGCCCCAGCTAGCCCTGTTGGAGAGGTTCTCTCCTAACCAGGCCTTTGCCGGCACCAGATGGTGAAGGGAAAGGGCTTTCTTTGTGCTGCTTCCTCTGCTTTGCCGTCCCTCTTTTGCCAACGGCCAGTCACAGACATCCCTCCGAAAGAATGAGGCCACCGCTTTGGGATCTTCCACTTCTCAGAGAGGCAGGGAGGGTGTCTGCAAGGAACGGCTGGTTTTTCCAGACAGCTGGTTGCTCTTGTTATCAAAAAAGGTGGAATTCTACAAAACCACTAAAGGCATCATTGAGACAAAACCCATCTCGCTCCAGAAGTGGGCCCAGATTTATCTAAAATCCAGCAATACACTGCAACATTGTTGCCCATTGCATCAGTGCGGATTTGGTGAGTCCACCTTTATCCATTCCACTGATTCATAGAAATCACAGAAAAGTCAAGTTAGAAGGGGCCTGGTGAGCCTCAGGGCAGAGGGGGGGAATGTGGGTTGGTGTGCCCTGACCCATGGAGGCAGGTGAGCCCAACTTTGTGAGCAGGGCGAGTCCACTCCAGGTCTTAACACTGAACGGTCTTTGTTCAGCACCTTGGAGAGCTCCTTTGGAAAGCAAGCTAAAGCCCAGAGCAATCTCGACCCACCCCCCTTGCAAAATGGGGGGCCAGCCAACTCAACGGCTAGTCCAGCCCTCAGAGTGCAGCACCACCAGGCCGGTTTACGCCCAGAGGCCGGGAAGGAAAGGTGGTGTTCCTAAGGGTCCATCATTGCTGGCTGTGGACCACACCGGTTGCGGACAATGGGAGTTGGTTGAGAACATTTACAGAGCAGCATGCTGGGGATGGCCACTTGGACGGACTGTCCCCACACGCTCTTTGAGCTCACGAGTGTAAGGGATCTTTACAAGGGATGGCCAGGAGACCAGGAAAGGAGGAAGGGAACAGGAGGAGCTTCCCTGGGCTTGGCAGCTGAGCGCTGGAACAGTGCCTAGTAAATATTAGCATTACGCATACACATGAATGGATTTCAGAGTGTGCCATGGATCCCAAATCCGGATTTCCCAAAACCCAGGGTTGGCACGGTGCCTTCTTTCTCCTCGGTGACCTAGCTCTGCCAGGGTGATCGGCCTTAAGAAGGCCAGCTTCAGAGGCCCTAATCCCCCCCCTCCTCACAACCAGAGGATTATGACTTCACTAGAGGGAATGCCAGTGGAAATGAGGCCAGACTGGAATGGCGGAAGCTCATCAGGACTCTGCTGCTGGAGAGACAGCTCGTGCCGGACTGAATTTCCCTCCTCTTCCAGGAAGAGAAAGCTCTTTCTTCTCCCAGCCTTCTCCAGGGAGCAACCCTATATTCTCCCCATGTGGGGGGGGGGGAGGCTCCCACTACTGTGGGAATGTGGATTTATTTCATTGTACTACTGTTGTCTTTCCATCCTGCTTTTGCTCAGTCTACTTGGGTGATGCACATGGCTTCTCCACGCTTGACCGCTAGAACCACGGCAGGAAAGAGGGCCTCTCCCAAGGTTAACCCAGGGAATTTGATGCTCTGTGGGGACTTGAACTATCTTAAGTCCCAGTTTAACATTCCAACCACTACATTATACTGCCTGAAAGTGCCCGGTTCACGAGGTGGGGCGTTTCTCCACATGGACAAAGGAAAGGGACGAGCAGGAATGAATGTTACACAAGAAAGCCATGCAGTGATGAACGCTTGGAAGACGGAATGCTGATACCTCGCTTAATATTTGGAGGAACAAGCGAGAGGGCCACGCCGCGCCCTGGCGCTGAAAACACAAGTGGGTACGAAGTAAATCCACAGCAAAATTCACACAGGACAAATCAGTATGGATAGAAGCGATTCAGGGGTCGGATCGTTTCAAAAAGCCCGTGCTGGCAAGGCTGGAAAAAAAATCGGTTGGCCAAATGAATCAATTTTACCTGTGCGTCATGTGAAGGGAAATTTATAAAACCATTTAAATAACAGCAGAATTGCTGTAACTGTGGCTTTTGTGATTACACCCCGAGTTGTTCACGTTGTACCAATTCTGAAAAAACTGCTTGAGATGCCTGTCCGCTTAAAACCCCTCAACCGCTTGGGACTTGAACCGCAGAAGGCGGCCCCCATCCCAGGCCAGGCTGCCAGTCTCTCGGTGATCATCTTTTAAGGGTTGTTTTCTGGGTATCCCCTGTTGCAAGAAATCCAGAAACTGTTGTTTAGTTCATACTGATGTTTGGATCTGTGTTGATTCCCCCTGACAATGAATCCTGTTATAACTGTGTACGCTTTCTTAGAAATTGATGTTGCATTTGGTATCTCTTCACAAATCACTTTATTCCCATGGTTGCAGAACACCCACTTCTGTCGCTGCCGATCAACATGGTAGGGCTAACAGAAGTGCCATTGCGAATTTTCCCACGGGAGGCGAGATTTAAAAACCTTAAAGTCCACTGCCAGAGCTGACTCAATGGGCCAGGGTGGCGGCGGCAGGCCTATTGCTAGGCTCAATCTTTTTCATATCAGCTAATACAGGAGACTAATTATTGCCATTATGAAACTTGCATTACTTGTGGCTGATCGGATTCAATGGCTGTTGCTTGCGTTGGCACTGAAATTCCCTTTAGCCCCTTGTGCTTGATGGTGACGAAAGGGCCATCCTGTTTTACTGGTGGGTGCTGCAGTAGGAAGAATTTCAGGGAAGTGTTTTTCTTTTTCTTAGCTTAGAGATTCCTTATCAGCCAATTAGACTGCAGATCGTTCATTCTCTCAACGACACTTGAATTGGTACACCTCTGGGTGGAGGAGTCCAGCATGAAAACAGCCGGTCTCGGTCTCGTTGCAATTGGCTGCCTACTCCTAACGCCAATGTCTCGTCTCCCGGCCTCCCGTTGACAGCATTGTGGAGGGCCGAGGCTCTCTCTCTCTCTCCAGGCTGATGGATGATATTTGTGCAACGCAAAGGTCAGTGGAGGCGATTAACGAGATAATATGGCCTGCAAAGCTGTTGCATCCCAAAGGGCCGCCAACACTCCTGAATTACAAGGTCACTCTGCCTTCCTCCAAAGTGTGGCTCGTTGAGATTGCCCAGGGTTTACAATGCAGATGGTCGGATAAAATAGGCCTTCTCGCCCCTGCATGTTTCTGCACGGAGGGTGAGCCCTGGCGGGCGGGCGCGACAAAGTGAATGTTCCTGAACGTGTCTTCATTTCAGTAAGCTGCTGGCAGTTGCTGCGCTTCATTTGAAACACACACACACACACCCCTAAGGTGGCTGTGTGATCTATGAGTAGAACCCTCTGCAGTCTTGCGTATGGCCAAGACGTTGTTTTCTTCAGCACAACCAATTCATTCCTGAAGGCAAATCTCACTGCATCGACAAAATAAAAAAAGAACACCCTAATAACCATTGTGTACAATTTGCATTCATCAGTTTTTTTCTGCCTCTTGCCAGGATGGCTCAAGTACTGAACACTCTGGAGCTCCTGACCTACCTGGAAGCAGAGTCGTCATGGCCACTGGACTTCTTTCTTGTTAGGTCGAAACGTTTCCCTGCTCATCCGAGGAGCTTCTTCGGTCTGAAGAGAGTTGGTAGGAGACCCCGGAGAGATCCTTCCCGTTGGTTTCCCTCCCCCCCCCCTTGGCCTGAATAGGCCAAAGGATCATGACTTTGATCCCTGGGATCAGCATAACATTTGGCACAGAGGTAGCAGACTGTCGGCTCTCGCTCTGTGCCAAATTTGGGGGTGTTTGGGCAAATGGGTTTCCAAGTTACAATTTTTTACCCTTCTGATTTTATTTTTTATTTTTACCATTCACCCTTGATGAAAAACAGCCCTGGCTGTTGCTTTGTGTTTGAGCGAGAAGTGGTTGACTGATAGGGGAAAAAAGGGGAAAAAAAGAAGGAGCCAACTTCTGGGGTTGTCCCCTGCGTGGTGTCACTTTGCGAATAGCCGTGAGCCCGAGAAGGGATCCCGTGGAGACCCTCTGGACGGCCGCTGAGTGTTGCCAACCTTTGCTCGGTCAAGCCTGGCATCCCTTTTTCCTGCTGGCAACGCAGGCACGATATTTATGTACCCATCTTGGGCCGTTTCTTGGTGTATTGAGTCGTGGATAAAGAAGCACAATCTTCCCGCATTCATAAACTGGAGGGCACTTTGTTTTTTTAAATGTAATCAAAACCTTTGGCCTAAATAGAACCTGTGAGTCTGAAGACGTAGAGAGGCTAAGGGATGAGCAGAAACAGAATTATGGTTTTGGGTCGTAGTTTCAGTGGGTCCTTCTAAAGGTGGGTCCTCTTGAAAACTCATGCCTGTGGCTTCCTTCAGGGAGTCGGTCCATCTCGTCTTGGGTCTTCCTCTTTTCCTGCTGCTTTCCACCTTTCCCAGCCTTATTGTCTTTTTCAGAGAATCTTGCTCTCTCTCACGAGGTGCCCAAAGCTGGACAACCTCAGTTTCCAACATTTTGGCCTCCAGAGAGCCTTCAGGCTTGATTTGATCCAGGACCCACTGGTTAGTCAACAAATAGACACATAGATAAGGGCATCCTCAGCTAGACTGAAATTCCGGGGACCCTTGGCGGTTGGCTCTGCCCTGTTGGGGCTGATGGGAGTTGGAGTCAAAATCACCCGGGAGACTTTAGAGAGCTTGCCTTCCCCCTCCCAACCCTCCTGGGCGAACGGGCGGTTGGAAATAGCTTAGTTCTTATGTTTACAGATATGAAAATTTTGAATTTTTTTGAAATTGCAAGGTGGGTACATAAAATAGGTCATCTATTAAGTGAAATAATATAAGGCAGCCATTCTCAAGAGGGATCATATGCCCCTCTGGGGACCCAGGGCACATTTGAAGGGGGCAACAGATCAGAAATTCTTCACAAACCAACTTATAAGGTCCATTATGCAACTTATACCATCCTGATTTGGCCTCTGTCTCTTTCATATTGTGTTTATGGCTGTGGCAAAAGAAAGTGTGACATGGCTGATCTAAATAATAGTATTTACAACTGGCAGTTTTGTCATCAATTTAAGTAATTGAAACATTAATTATTAGCAACTTACAATTAGATACTATTCATGATAGTTAATCCTTCTGCAAGCAAGATAAATTCATGTGCTGTGTTAGGAATGCTGATGTATCCCATTTGGATTTTAAATCTCCCGGCGGCAGATCAAGGACATGGAGCGCCTCTTTCGGCAGTGAGTGTCTCTCCCCCCCCTGCGCACCGCCCCCCCACGAGGGAAGGAGGGAGGGAGAGGGGGCCTCTGAGCATGGCCAGAGCGCCGCGGGGGAAGGGGCGTCGTCTCTCCCTCCCACGCCCGCAGAAAAGCGCTCTGCGCTCGCTCAGGAGCCGCTGCCTCCCTGCGCAAGGCAAGGGGTTGGGGGGGGGGAGAAGGCTCGGAGGGACCCGCAAAGGGGGGGGGAGCCCTCCTCCTTGGCTCGGCTGCCAGGAGGGATGGGGTGTGTGTGGGGTCTCCCCATGGAGAATTCCCGCCACCCCCTTCCTCTCCCCCCCCCAGTGGGAGAGCCCTGCCCATGGGCACAAGCGGTGCTGAGAGGGCGAATGGGAATTGTAGTCTAGAAAAAAAACCCCGGGGATCAGCCTCCTGCCAGCCTTTGAAGGGGTACATCAGCCCCCTCTGGTCTTCCTGGGGGGGGGTCATATCCCCTCCCTCGCTCCCTACTCCCTTTTCCGTGGAGCAGCCAGTGGTGATGGGAGCTGTAGTCTGTCCGTGAAAGAAGGGCCTCTCGCTCCCCAGCCTTCAAAGAGCATCATCCTCATCCCGGTGAGGTGATGCAGTTCAGGGCAGGCCTCCCAGCTCATCCAGCAACGAGGCATGGAGGGGGCCCCAGTTAGATTTCAGGAAGAGCACTCTGGGCGTGTGCAGAATGCCCTTGGGCTGGCTCCCCATGCCGCTGGGGTCCGGGAGGGCCATCCTTCTGGGCCAGCTGGGGGGGGGAAGATGGCCGGGGTGGGGGGTCAGCTGCTGGCCAACTTCTCCTCTCTCTCTCTCTCTCTCTCTCTCTGCAACTGCTCGGCCACCGATGAGCAGCTCCCATCCTCCTTCACCAGCTGGGGCTGGTGGGAGTTGTAGTCCAGGGGCCTCAGGTGTGTCAGAAGCCCCTCACTGGCAACTCCTGGTTTCCTGGGCGAAGGCCGTGCGGATGCGTTTGCTTCACACGTGGGCTGCCTGGTCAACATGAGGGGCTGGAGTGTGGGCACAGAATGCCCAAGTGTCGCCTCGCGTGGTGTTTTCAGGGTGGGGGCCTTTCCCCTCGGGTGGGGAGTCCGGGGCTCCCCGGAAGGGCTCCAAGGCTCCCGCCCTCTTCCTACTCTTTGGGGCTTTGGGCCTTCTTTCGAAAAGGAAGGGAGGCCATTTCTTCCACCACTCCGGGGGGGG